GCAAACAGCGTCGAAGGACCGTTTCCCAAGCATCTCCCAGCGACGCTCTGACAGTGACAGTTTCTCCAGAAAGTGTGCACACCTCCATTCTGATTGCCATGTCTGACAGACAGCGGGGGAAACTTGAAACAAATCGAGTTGCCTTGACACCGACAACTGCGGCATGGCAAGGGCAAGGGAAGACTGGCGCAGAAACATCGTGGTTGTCACGTGTCAAAGGACAGTTCATGACGTACTGACTTGCGCAGCACAGTGTACTGTACGTCTCACACAAGCGCCAGCCTGCTCCAGACGAAACGGAGATCGAACAGCATCTCTTCCTGGCCAGAGCAAGGTTTCATTTCCAGTACTGGGGCGCAGGGTGCAATCAAGACACATCAACGGCAGTTGTTGAGAGTCATGGGATAGAAATGGTTTTCTGTGAAACTGTGCTGAACGCATCTTAGATCGCAAACGAATAATGAATGAATGAATGAATGAATGAATGAATGAATGAATGAATGAACAACAGGCACGGAGCTGGAGACAGTCCAAGCACTTGTTTCCTTCTCAAGCACCCCTTTGCTTCTCCATGCAGTTCAGCATGTCATGGCCAGATGTGTCTATGAAACACCGACTGACTCTGTCAGCCAGGCCTTGGAGCAATGCTAGTTAATTTTGCCTGTCTGTCTAATCATCAGCACGCTGATCTGTCACGACAAGCCTCCACTCCACAATGACACTGTACCAAGCCCTCATCGATCTTCTCCACTCGGCGGCCTCTTTTTCAAAGGTACGCTTGGGCACTGCAGCATCCAAACGTGGAGTCACTGGTTGCTTTCCGCCCATGGCCTTGAGGAAGTTCGTTGCCTCCTGACTCTTCTTGGCTTCATTGATGGAGGTGTATTCCACCTGGCCTTTTGTGGCCCTGATCATCATTGCTCGCTTGGCCATACGGAACTTGTGACGGTCTGACTCTGCCACGGACTGCGAGTGCATCATTTCTAGGGCTAGGGCGAGGGAAAGTCAGGAGGAGCCTAACAATGGAGCCTGGGCCAAAATGACTGTCTCTCGGACTGAGTCAGCACAAGAACACTCACTGCCTGCAATGACGCAAGGACAATTAAATTACGCCGAACATCAATTGAAGAGACAACTTCCTGGCCTGCTCACGCTGGTCTGGTAGGCGTGCAGCAGCATTGGCAACCTGCCAATTCCAGATTTATTGCATGGGATTTACTTTGCAGGCTTAAGTTAATTCGCGACTTCAGCTCGTTGACTGACTCTGATGAATGAAGTTTTGACACCTCATGCCCAAGAGTCCAGGACCCTGCACAGCCAAACAGCCACCAACACCAAATTCGCTCCTAGCCCTGCGCAGAATTGCTGTCTTTGATTCGACTCAAGTCTGGAATCTTTTCTTGCGCGCTATTTAAAATTGTCGAACGGTGCCCTGGATCATTCACAAATCAACCTGCATGATTGCTTCTGCTCATTATTTTACGCTCTGAACCATTTTTAAATGATCTGAAATTCCAGAACCCGACGACTGACCCTGATCACTCTGCAGTCAGGGAATCAAATGTCCAGGGGCATGTCTCGTCAGGATGGAGCGACAGGTGACCTTTTCAAGGACCCACTTGACGCAGACACTGTCCTTTCCACTAGCACCCCAGGACTTGCTAGTTGACCAGCGTTGCTGGCTGGCAATGACTCTGAAACATTTGTTGTAGTGGTCTTTCATTGCCCTGTAACCGAACTTCAAATGGGGAAGAAGATGCTGCACACCCTCAGCTGTCCATGACTCTTCGGACTCAAATCTCACCGGCTTTCGCTTCACAGACGCTGGCCCTGACGCTGGCGCTGAGGCTGATGACTGCGCCTTGCCCTTGCAACGTTTGCGAATCTTTCGGATGCTGCTGGTGATGGACTTCGCTGCCTTGACTCTTGCTTGGACCTGTTCCTCCCGACTCTTCGTATCTGTCTCAAATTCCTCCTCGTCGTGCTCTGGCCCTGCCACCTCGTCAAGGGCTCCACTCTGACACAAATTCATGTAGTCCTCTGCAGCGGTGTCCCCAGCTCTCCACTGCAACGACCGCTCCAGGGCCTCTGCCACTTGCTCATGTGCCTTACCTTTCTGGCCCAAGGCATGCGACACTGCCTCCATCAGGATTGGACCCAAGTCGTCATCCGTGCGTGGAACGACGATCCCATACTCGTCCTGGCAAGGGATTGACTTGCCATTGTTAAGCTATGAACCTGCTATCAAACTTACAAGACAGTCTTTAAAATTTAAACCAACACACAACCTCAACCCAGAGCCCCCCTTGACTCAACCCCGCCTTAGTCCCATGAATCCACAGCCCTGACCGGTCAACACTGTCCTTCAGCAACCGTCGCAGCATGCCAATTGACACTGTGTGAAAACCCTCCTTGGCCACGTACTGGAGAAGTGGCGTGACACTCTTGCTTTTCTCCCAGAAAATACCAGGGAGCGTTGGCACAGTGAAGTCCGCAAAGCTTTTCACTTTGGACTTCTGCACTAAGTGAAGCGCAATGTGTAAAGGACTCACCAACGCAGTGTCCATGACGCTCCAATCGGCGAATGCAAAAACGCTTGCGAACTGACACTCGATCTTGTCAGGAAGCTTCCAGAAATACAGCTTGTGCTGACTCTGACTCTGCTTGTGCTGACTCGGACACTCCAGCTCCACCCTCTCCAACGGAATGAGTCCAGCAGCACTCTGGTTGGGCCAAGGTCCCAGACTGAGGTATGTGACACTGACACTGCCGCTGACACTGCTGCCCTTCTTCTTCACAATCAGACCCGGTGCCAAGAATGATGTTCGCCAGCTGCTTGACAGCAATTTCAGTGACGCTGACCCTTTCTCAGCAGCCTGGAGCAACAGCTTCTGCTCTGGGGCAAGGGCTGCCGTGTTCATCGGGCTTAACGTCGGCCACTGACACTGACTCTGGATGACCTCCTTGATTTCGGGCGATGACGCTTCCAGACGCTTTGTGTGATGAACACTTCCTGGCAATGGGCCAATGCTGACCCTGGAAGCATCCGGCACCATCTCTTTATACCCGAACCCTCCCAAAATCTGGGCGTTGGACAGCTGTGACCAGCTGTCACTGACACTGAACTCATGGGGCTTGTTCTCCCTCTGCTCCTGGGTTGGGTTAGGTCGAAATCGAAGCACAGATTTTTTACACATATTATGTATATTCTTTGTTCCTACAAATTATGAAACTAAGGGAAAAACTCTGCCTCATGACGCTGAGCTTCACTCTGACGAAGCCGCGAGAAGCCTTCTTCATTGAAGGTAAAGCAGAAGGTCCCGAACAGATCACGCATGTGTGACACAAAGACGCTGTCACTGACAGTGACCCTGGCAAGGTCCTGTACCAGGGTATGTGACGCTGCTGAACGCCTCCGCACCACTTGGCACCACTGCGTGTTGACGCTTTCTGCCATCTTGTCTGCTTCAATGAACTTTCGCAGCTCTTCTCGGATGACACTGGCAGTCTCTGGCCCTTCACAGGCTGCAGCAAGGCGCAAAGGAAAAACCTCATTGCTCATCCTGGGCCACTGAGTCAAGGAACACGCCAAGGAAATTGAAATCACTAAATCCAAGGTTCGCTCTTTGTAACCAGAACAAAAATCAAGGCCGGATAAAAATTCTACTACTGAAGAATGAACAGAGGCTCTCATACAGGCACATGTGCTTCATGACGCTGAGGGCGTAATGAACCATTCTCTCGAAAAGCCAGTCTTGATACTGGACTGTGCCATCCTCGGTGTTGAGGCGGAAATAAAACAATGACCCTGCCAGCTCAGTGTTGTCGCTGATCCCAATTGACCTGTGACAGCACGGGTCCACACAGGCGTTGCCAATTTTGTTGAGAGTCTTGCGCCATTCTCCTTGAGCCTGCTTCTGCCAGAACTGCCATGACCCTTGCCTCCCGCGGACCTCTCTTCGCATCTCGTTCAGGTACTCTGACACTGGGTTACTAACAGCAAACCAAGTGTTGACGCTGGCCAGCAAGTCGTTGTCAAGGAGGAGGTACAGCACAGCCTGGAGCTTGTTCTTGAACTTCGAAAAAATGACTCTGCGCTCCTTTTGGCCTGCTTTCAGGTTCTCGTGGACTCCGGCCTGTTCAGCAGCACGGACTAGTGACTCTGTCACTGCAGGCTTGCCCCCCTCCATCTTGATCAGTCCATTCTTGAAGCCGTATGACAGTAACACTACTGTCAGAAGTCCTATTTCAGGACGCAGAGCCCGCCAGGTGCTGTGGAACTCGTCCCACCTGGATGGGTTTCCGGTGGCTGCCTGCTTCTTGTAAAAATTGGCCTCCCGCAACCAACCAACTGCAGTTCTGACACTGACGTCGTGTTCAACCATGTTTCTGTCAGCTGCAATTTTGGGAAGCATGAACTTGATGACGCTGACACCGTCACTGTGCTCGTGGGCATCACCAACCATCTTCAAGAGCTCCACTGACTCTTCAGCCAGCACACGAAACCATTTCCTGTTATCCCATGGCCCCCGGGTCCATGAGATCAGGACCTTGGCATACCCTGCTGCTGACGCGTAGCCACACTTCGTCATTGCGTTCGCCAGGATCCGGTGACACTTGTGCCTTGGGTCATACAAAAAGAGGGCCCGCAACTTCAAATGGTGAAGGCAGAACCATCTAGCAGCGTTGGCATCGCTGCCGTTGTCTGACACTACCACAAGGGTCGATTTCGCGCTGAAGCTTGACTCTGACCCTGACTCTGCCCCAGCAGCACTGACGTCACCATGACCCTCACGAAATGCAGTCAAACCCAAAGGGCTGTGACACAAGCGAAGGACGTGGTCTGTCGCCAGGAGGAGGTCGTACGTTGACACTCGCTCCAATGATCGCGCAGCTTTCTTCACTTTGAGAACTTCCTTCTCGGTGTCTGCCGCCTCACGCTGACGCTCTGAGCCTCAGCTGCAAACAAAAACAATGTTGCTAACCTTGACACTGAAAGCGTTGCACCGGGAACCCAAGGTTGAAGTTTGGGCTAGATCTGACTCTGCAATTCAGGGTCAATGTATGCTTGCCTTGCTGCCTGAACAATTTAATTTCATTTGCAGTCCACGTTGCTGAGGAGATCAGCAACTTGCTTGTCCAGCTTGATGGAATCGTCTGGAGTTGGCTCTGTCCCTGGCACTCGATGCCCAGAGTCCTGATGAACCTGCAGGGCGCTCACAGTTTTCAGCCGTTGATTGATTGAATTAAAAGGGGGTCGAGTCTATTGCCTGCCCTCTCTCTCTCTCTCTCTCTCTCTGTTGCGTTTTCTCGGTCTCTCTTTCTGTCTTCCTCTCTTTCTGCCCTTTATTTATATATATATCTCTCTCTCTCTCTCTCTCCCTCTCTCCCTCTCTCTCTCTCTCTCTCTCTCTCTCTCTCTCTCTCTCTCTCTCTCTCTCTCTCTCTCTCTCTCTCTCAGTCTCTCTCCATTGTCCATGTCTCTTTGTCGCTTCTCTCGGACAATTCTTCCATAGAGTATGATGAGATTATGACCATGACTAGAATGAAACATATTTGACATAATATGTAGCTCAGGCTGCCCTGCCTGAGAAGGTGCCCATGCTGACACTCCAGATTGCAAGTTCATGACTGCAAAGGTGGTGAGCTTTCTTCCGCCAATGCGTGAGGCGTCGAAGGACACTGCCAGCTGCTTTGCGTTGCGGAACTGCTCCTGACACTCTTGGAAATAAATGCTGCGTTCACGCTGCTTGTCCCTTCTGGTAACCATCTCACGCGCTGTAGCAATACGTGCCCTGGCCTTGGCCCGTGCATCTTTGCTCAAGGTGCCAGGTTGACCCTTTGCAGCTGCCTCTGACTCTGACCGCTTTTGGCGGTTCTGACGCTTCACACGCCAAGCTTTCTGCTGGGCGAGGCGCACGTTCATGACTCTCTGAACAGGGTCGCGGTGGAAGCCGTAGCCCAGTGAGTCTTCACCCTGACCAAACTCTTCAAAGTCGAGGCTCTGCTCAATCAGCGGCGCCAGCTGTGACACTAGTTCCTTCAACAGCCACTTCCACTCAGAACGCAGCCGGATGGCGCAGAGAAAAGTGCTGAGTGACTGCTCACTCTTTAGCCGTAGCCCCCTGGTGTTGGACTTGCGCCCACGGCAAGCCTCTGCCAGTTCTGCCAGTAACACTTTTCCTTGATGCAGCGTCACTTCAACAGAAGTCAACTCGTCTTCCTGACACTGGTCATCGTCAGCCGGAAGAGTGATGCGCAATGTGACACTGGGCACATAATGGTCCAGGAACTTCTGCAGCCACTGTTGACTCTGCTGACGGGCCTGCTTGCCAGAGACAGACGCTGTCACTGCAATCAAAAGCATGACGCTTGTGTTTCCACAGGCCTCATGCATGGTCTGCTGCCCATCTGCACGCCCTGGTTGCGACCGCTCAGGCCAGACGAAAGACTTGCTGGTGTCCCCGAGGACATCTTGACACATGTTTGTCCAAGAGCGCTTCGCTGTTTTCATGATGCTCTGATGTGAATTGGAGACATGGAAGCTGTGCAAGTTCCAGAAGTAGCGGTGACCCTGACAAGGTACCTTGTAATTCACCAGGAATAGCCGCTTCTTCTTGTCCACAAACATGCTTTGTAGCACCTGCTGAACTTACACTTCAAGTTTAGCTGGGTCTAGCGATCACACTGCTTCGGCTTCAAACCCAAGATCTGCAACCCTGCCAAAAGTACTATCAGTTGCTGAGTTGCGCCTGATGACCCTGTGGTGGATGTAGCAGTGCCCGGTCGTTCGCGAAGCTGCTGACCCATCTTAGGCAAGAGCCATCCTGACTCTTCCTGTACGCAAAAAGCCGCTCACCAGCTCTCCACACAGACCAAGCAAACATGTCTGACACCCAGACCGTCTTCCTGGTCCTCTGACCCTGAGGATCGACGCTGACGCTGTCGCAATATCCCCATCCAGAAGCACTGATGTGGAACTCGCTGTCTTCTGCTAGCAGGTGACACTCGCCTGTGTAGACGTTGGCCAGTCTGGCTTTGCCAAAGGCATGCGTCAACTGAAACTGGTTCTGGTGTCTGACACTCTCGCAAAGATCGCGAGCATAACGTGGGTCTGGCGGGAGATCACCCTCCATGGCGCCAAACGTACTGCTGATGGAATCTGACTCTGGACTATTATTACGCTGACCAAAGCGAACCACACAGCCAGCATGTCATTGTGTCAGTTTCTTGAAAATTAAAGGTCTCATTCCAATGCAGTGACCTTATAAATCTTTCTATGTCTGCAACCAGCCAAAGCTATTGTCATTCTGTCAAGCGCGCACATCCTCAAAGCACCACTGAGACTCAGGGAGGTGATGTCAATAGCAGGGGTGAGTCAGCGCAAGTGACACCAAAAAAAATGGGTAGGTGCCCAAAACCCTGAAAGTGTTGGCGCCTGATGCTGCTGCGGCGGTTGCGCTCTTGCGCGTTCCTTGACGCTGTTGCAAGACCTGATGTGGCTCAGTCAGCACATTGGCTCTCACTCACTGCTTCTGCAAAAATCCAGCATTTACAATCACACTTGCGTGTGCAACGACAAAGTCACAGCGTGACGATTCACTCACTGTTGCTGAATCTGCTTGCTGCTACTGAGATTAATGAATGCATGGAACAAAAAAACTGGTGTCTCCCCGTCTAGCGGTCATGCATTTGCGCCCCAACATAACATTACTCCACAACTATGATTCCTTGTCTCACAAGCCTATACACCCCCCCCCCCCCCCCCCCACGAACCCCACGAACCCCACGAAATCGAAAAACACCACGAACCCCCACCACAAACCCCACGAACCCCACGAACCACCCACGAACCCCCACGAACCTCCACGAACCCGCCACGAACCCCCCTTCTGTGAAGCCTTGGGGGGCCTTAGGCACGAACCCTCCCACGAACCCCCCCACGAACCCCCACGAACCTCGACGGAGTTCGGTGAACCCTGGGTTTCAATTGAAAATGTATAGAAAACCAACGCCGACACCAAAACTCTGTCCCAGAATTCCTGGCGCAGCCCCTGGAAAAACGAAGCCCCACGAAGCCCCACAAAGAAACCTCGCCACGAACAGCCACGAACCCCCACGAACCCCCACGAACCCCCACCAACCCCCACGAACCGCACGAAAAAACCCCCCCCCCCCCCCCCGCCCTCGGTCCCCACTCCCACAGCCCGCGGAAACCTCCACCCCCCCCCCCCCCCCCCCCTTCCCTCCCACCAAATTGCAAAATCCAGACTGCCTGCGCCATGCACGGAGCAGCCCAGCAGTCCTGCCAAGGGGACCATGTGGTGGAATCATCTAGGAAGGAGTCTTCAATTCAGACAGCAAGCGTGCAGCCACACTTTTTATCCCCTGGACGACGCTCTTTTCGCGCTTGGACTCATCCCCTTGGAGTCAACTGACCCAAAATGACACTGACCTAGCTCAAAATGGCGCTGACCTTGACCTCATCTGGTTTTCACTCTTCTCCTTCTGCTTGGTGATGACTCTGCGCAGGAAATCCTCAGAGTCTGTGCGCTGTCAGGCTGTGAGGCGCAGAAATTGCGAGAACTAAGAATGAAGACTGGCAAACTGATCAACAATGCCAGCTCTGGCACGTCCATGAAAGACCTCATATTCTCGTACTTCTGAACAGCCTTGTACTCCTTCCTCAGCCAAACGTGAGCAAGGAAACTTGAAGTGAAGGGGAAACATGCTCCGCAGGCTTGGAACGCATACGTGCTGCCAAAGATCCGAGCCTTGTAGGCATGTGGACGCGACCCTGGCGCATGCCTGCCCCCTGACTTTTTGGACTCTGTTGGAACCAGAGCCGTTTCCGGACCCACACTGACACTCTGACTCTTGGGCTCTTTCTTGACCCTGGCCCTTTTCGCTTGGCCCTTGCAATCCTCTGGCTCAGAAGAAGAACACAGAACTAAGGCTGCTTCTGGGAGTTGACTTTGCCGGCTGCTTGGATCTGTCTTCACTCGCAGAGCCCTCTGACTCTGGCTGCTTGGTGGCGTTGTCTTCCTCAGAACCTCTCCTTTTTTTTGTTGTGGAGCCCTCTGGCTGCTTGGTGGCGTTGTCTTCCTCGGAACCTCTCCTTTTTTTCCTTGTGGAGCCCTCTGGCTGCTTGGTGGCGTTGTCTTCCTCGGAACCTCTCCTTTTTTTTGTTCTGGAGCCCTCTGGCTGCTTGGTGGCGTTGTCTTCCTTGGAACCTCTGCTTTTTGTCCTGAAGAAGCCCTGTGACGCTTCTGTCCCTGCGGTCCCTGACACTGCTGCCTCTCTTTGATGCTGTCTTCAAGCTTGAGCATCGCATCCCTTCTCTGCACTTGCTCACGCTGCATGCGCTGAAATGACTCTCTCACCATTTCATGGAGCTCATCTGTGGGGTACTGCAGCCAACTGCCCATGACTCCCTGAACTCTACCCTCTGTTGGGCCAAAGGTCACTGGACAAACAGACGCTCGGTGACCACTGAATGTCAAGTCAACGATGATGACCAAAGAAACCCAGGGACAGCAGATTGCAAGATCATTCATTGTGTGCCTGCACTTGGTCGCACGCGTTCTTTTATCAGGATTGCAAAGGCGGTCAAAACTTCCGAACACCTGCTCCCGCCAAAACTGTCTCTGACCCTCCGTCCGTGCACCACACCTCTCTTGCAAAAGAATCTAGCGCATGTCATCTCTGACAATGAACTCTGACTTAGAAAGCTGTTAGTTACCTGGGAGGGAGGACAGCAGACACTGCAAGGCAAAGTGCGCCACACTTGGCATGCAAATGTTGCCAAGGCAGTGCAGGCGTAAAGTGTCTTCGACACTTTCGGTTGTCGACATCCATGTTGAAGGGTGTGGCGGTGTCGGCCACTCCTTCTCTGGATCCATCAAGGAACGCACGCCATCCGGCGCCATTGCCTGAAATGAGCAGGACTCACACAGACAGACACAGACAGACAGACACACACACAGACACACACACGCAC